CCTAAAGGGGACAAAAAATCATACAAAGCAGAGGAAGAAAATCAGTGAACAGACAATTGAGAATCACGTGGTGCAATGGATCAAAGCGGGATCACCGCTAACAACTCGAAACAAATTTTATGCTTTCTCTCATTTCAATAAACAGAACAATGAAACATCAAACAATGTCACAAACAGGTCGATATTGTTCTGATTAATACTCATCAGTTATACTAAAGGAATAAAAATAAATGGAATCAATTGCTAACATGAACATGCAAGGTAGCATCACAGAAACAAATTGAGCAACTCAATTTCATGGACATAGAAACGTATCCACACTTCGTACCTACACACGAACTAACACTTTCTCTCCATTCGTCAGTTCACTTCTTACAACCATTAACCATGCACTTTCGTGCGCCAGTTTTGGTTGCTGTCTTTTGGTGCCCCATTTGGATAAAACACCAGAATGAAGATCGGAGTTTTGAAAGCAAATTCATATAGAGTGGTGTTAGGAGAATAATGAGTGGATGCACTAAAGCCACTGTTTGCGACATCCAACCATACGATTGCTGTCGGTACAATCTCCCAGGGATTGATATTACTTCCAACTTATTGAAACCGAATAAAGCGTCTACGATCATGTGTTTATTGGCACCCAATTGTTTTTCCCTGCTCTTAATAATAACGGCTATTCATTGGATACTCAAACCGGTGTCTCCATTGACACTGGAGCTGCGTGCCCATTGATTCACCGGGACTTTCTGCTGAAGAATTCAGGTCATTCTTGATATACTCATTGTGAGCTCATAACTGCTAACCTCACCATTGTATCTATAAATGGCCATGTTTCGCTGTCACCATATTGGGGTGATTAAACTCCCAACAGCCACACCGAAACCCAAAAGTTCAAAATCCACATTGGTTTAGATAGAACCGCAATGGGACTCCAAGTGTCTCGTTTGAATCACCATAATCACACCATTAGAACAATAGCAACCATTGGCAACCAAATTGCGTGACCTCATTCAATGAAGAACGCCATGCAGAGCATCGTTGACAGATTGTTATCCAAATTCAAGGACGTCATTGCTCAAATTCATGCTAATATTGGCCGTACTAGAATTGACCAAAACAAAATGAAAATAGGAACGCTTCATCACTGAGCATAACTATGAGCTCATTATTTGTCCAGTGCCAGGAACCATAACTACAACTATTCATAGAAATATTGCTGTTGCACGGTGTCATTTGTCCGTCGAACACTCCTTGGGTATCCTGCATAGCTTTGCAAAAAGCAGGACGATCCTCTCTACGTGTCGATTATCTGCGCTTCAACCCACGTGAGGATTTTTCCTTTAACCGAAAATAAACCGAGTATTTTGGGTATATGATGCCAAGGTTTTAACACTTTGAAACTAGTGTCTGAATATTGGCACGTAGTAGTGCATCCAAAATGGCGTTCCTAGTTCCATCAGGGTTACACGTATTCCAAACAAAGAAATTTTGTTTGGCTTGTGCCACGGCTACAGTTCACAAATCAATGCAGACCCTACTCGAAAAACTTTTTCCATATAATTGTTTAATTTACATGAACAACACCAAAAATTGCAAAAAGTGTACGGTGAAACACAAAAACATTCTGTTATCTTGTATTTTCCCATGTTTAACTGTTTCACCCTCCTTTCGCTATGTTCTGTACCCCAACCCACCTATCCCGTTTTATTGTTATTCTTATTATTGTTGTTGCGTTGGCACCATGGTTGTCTTCAAGCCGGTGGTAAATATATATATTTATATATACCATTCATCTTCGAACATTTCCGAATGGTTATGCTAAAAATGAAACCCGTTGTCTACCGCCAATTCCTTTGGTCAAATTTACTTTTCCATTGTAATATGGCTTCATAATCGTAAATGGTGTCAAACTTCACATTCCATCATTCAAGGCTTCCACATAGCTTCGGAACTCCAGCTCTGGTTGTCAAACGTGGCTCAGGATTTATGCAATGACGGAGCTTAAAATAGAAAGAGCTGACTGTTGGTATTCCCGATAAATTCACACGTTCATCCTGCGAATTCGGGAAGGTCGGAAAACTACTATCTGTCAGCCGCCTGAGAAACCCCGAAACTAATCTAACTGAATATGGTTGGGATGGATTCTTTTAGTACAGGCGCAAGTCTTGTACCTCACCTCTTTCACTGCGTGCTGCTTATGACACTTTCATTCCTAGTTACAGTGTACGGTGGATAACCTGAAACGCCAGCGATTCTGTCAGTAGAACATTTGTTTAGACGGACCATTTAACAGACATTCTTGGTATTTTCTGCAGTTCTGTTGGCTTCTGGTTGAATCGTGGAGGCTGCAATTGACTGATGATAGTTGAACATCAAGTTCACGGATCTAAACGTTCGCATAGACATTCACCGAATCACAAGTCTTTCTTTTTGAGTCACTTGACTCATTTCAGTCATGGACCGAGCGCATCAACCAATTTGACTAAGCCTAGTGATTGATGGTGCGGCACAACATAGTCACGCACGAAATATAAGTCACGATATGGCATCGTCGGGTAGTACCGTGCAAAACAGCTTTTACCAAGCAGTTCCTAAGAGGATTTTAGCTGGCACCTACTTTTGGTAACTATTGTGCACTTAACGCAATGACTCCTTTTTGATAGTTATTCTATTCCCTTCATGCACATTGTCACAACATTATTTCATGGATCGATTTGATTCGAGCATGAATTCGACTATGCCTGATGTACAAGATTTCCCTGTTATGGTCGCAGCGCAGGCAGATGATACCCCTTGTCAAAAAGCAGTCGGTTCAGTTTCGTTGTCACGTCAAGCGGTACCTCTAGCAAACAGCTCATGCAACCATACTGTGCGACAACCGCCTACAGGTTTTCCACGTCCAACAATACCTTCTCCTCATCAGAGGCTCGTGTTTTATACTCTACTCGGACTATTTGGTCTCGGTATCACATTCACGCGGCGTTTATTTACTGTAAGAACCGCCTGGCTCCTTATGAATGAAGATCTTCGCATGTGGAAGAAACGATGTGTACAATGTAAATCAGCTAATACACATGGGCACATTAGAGATTCACCATCGCATTACCTGATGCTGAATTGGACTATCTTATGAGTATACTCGCAAAAGATGACAGATTTAAAATATGGCCGGAGAATACTCCGAGTTTTGCGATCCCAGCAGGAACTTTGGCTCCATATTTTGTAGAACGATACGTCGCTTTCCACGGCTGTCCCTCCTCGGTCATTTGGTGGTCGATTGTGAGGATACATTCAGGTAATATGTTACACTTACTGGGCATCACGTAAAACAATAGGATGTTGCCCAGAGTCCGCAGCCCATCGGGGGTCGGTATCCAGTTCATTGGATCATACGCCCTCCGGATGGAGTACAACGTCCAAGGTACCAAATATACCTCGATATCTACTCGAAACCATGATCACTGCCGCAACTAGGAAGTTATGTTTGTGTGTGGTTTATACGCCTCCTTTTGATTGATTTGGAATCAGAGTTGTCAGCAAACTCCCCTTAGTGAACTGTAAATGGATCAGCAACCCGGTTATATCTCCGGTTGCGGCTTTTCGTTCCCTCACTTTGATGGGAAAACATCTACGCGGTGAGTAGAGATTCCTCTTCAAAGGCTAGTTGAGACGCTTAGTAAAATAGGCGCATTTCGCAAGGTGTATGGGAATGGTGACCAGTCACAACCCCAAGACACCCACCCCGACCACACCGAGGTTTTCGACTTTCTTTTTCTTTATTTTAAATTTTACTTCCTTTTTATCACCGGGTCACCATTACCCTGCACAGAGAAAAGGTCTGGGAAGCTGAATACGTGCATTATGATAGCGTTGGTTATAGCCAATATAGAGCACAAGAGAGCTATCTTGACCGACAAAGACACGTTCTACTGACCTGGTCTCAACATCAGTAACGGATGAACAACGGTTTTTGTCAGGTATTGAAATGCAGCTCTGTGACTAGTTAAACAAATCAAACCTAGGGGTGACAGTTTAAGTCACCAATAAATTGGAAATAAAACGGAAAAAACGTAGAGTTCGAGAACACATACATGTTAGTTCATTGTCTCATTACGAAATCAATCATCCGTTCGAGTATTCATGTTTCTCACTCTAAATAACATCAAATAGAATGAAAATCACATAAACCCAGATTTCGAAATTTCCAACCGGCGCTCTAGTTTAGATCATCCAAGGTATCTGATCCTATCAAAACCCTGTGCAAGCCAATAAGAGACGAAAAGTAACCAACAAATCCACGATTCTAATCAAGTGAAATATCACAACGAACAACGTGCTTCACTGCTACTTCATATATTTGTGACATTCAAGATTTTACATTATGGACTGTGTATACGTCAATAAGAACTAGATCGATCGAGTTCGGAACTCGAAATATTGTTCTCCCCAGTTCTATGGGAACGTGAAGTATGGACTACACATGTCACTCCTACTCTCAAGTTCACTCGATGGAAATGATCGAAATACGCCCACAGAGATCAGGACGGAATAAAAAAGATGAACCAGAAGATACACGTGTGAGGGGGGACGAAATAACATGAAATTAAACAGAAATACTGTCTAAGATCTGAACCTAAATGTAAGATGAATAAAATCAAGTATGTGAAGGACAGAGTTACACACATTGTCGATTGTTTGTTGTCGATTTGTAGGTATACATACTGGTTGGTTTCCGGTTGGTCGCAACTGAATATAAAAGAGTGATGGAGAATGGAATGGTTTAGGTTTTTCTTTTCTCCTGTTCACTTCCAGCTATTTTGCCTTCATTTAATCAGTCAATCAGTCAGTCGGTGAAAAAATTCAGACACATCGGTTTGGTTCATGTGTGAATGGGAATAATTGTTCAACAACATGCAACCAAGATACAGTACTCACGTATATTTTAAGGATATACCAATAGGTGGTGTTGTTCCCTGATTCCCGTTACTTCGGCTCACAATTCACTTGTGCTTTCGCACAGCCAATGCGCGTTTCCTGGTGGCTCGAACAAGTGCGATTTTTTTCTTTAATAGTTTCGTCTTCCGTACCCGAACATGATGGCGTGCGGCACTGTTATTCTGAGCATTGGCATTATTGCGCATTTTTTTTGACAGACTGCTTGATCGTGAACGGGAACGTGAACTGTTTCGATTTCGTTTGATCCCGGCTAAACGTTTGATTGAACGACTCAGGGACTTGCCCAAACGTTTTCGTGACTTCAAAGTCGAGGAAGCACCTTTCGAAGAGCTATGGGATCGAGATCGGGATGTTCTGCGCGCTTGGTGATGAGTACGACGTCGTGCCTCGCTTGCAGGGGCCAAAGCCGGTGGTGCACATGGTTGTTCCATATTGCTGTTATTCTCCATGATAATTGTGAGCGTAGAGTGACACGTACACGAGACGTCAAACTACTCGCTTCAGACTGATGGACAGTTTGAGACAGACCAGATCGATCGAAGCAGTTTGAACGCAAGCTGCGTGGCGACCCCCGAATCGATCTGATCGATGAACATCTATAGGATGTAGTTGGTAGACGTTTGAAACAGCCATTCTACCCGAGTGAATGAGCCGTACAGCCGTACAACTCGTTCAACTCAAGCCTATGCACTCACCTAACGAAAAATATTTTTAAGTATGCACATTCATTAGGTTATCGCCACTAAACCTATCAAAATGTACAAAACAGACATCTATAAAGGAATACTTTAGAACCAAGATCCTTGCGAAAAATTGATAAAATGTTGTTTTCTCTTGCGATTCATCACAAATAGTGTCTACCTGTCCAATTATCAGTTTATTTTTTATTCTTATGATTGTCACAATGCTAAAATTTCCACTCGATTTTGCGGATGAATTTCACATTTAAGAATTGAACTGCTTCTTGTTGTAGAATCTTTGAAAATGGGCTGTAAGGATAACTCGTAGAGCTGAGGATCGGCTCATTTTGATCAGGTAACATTGAATGAGTTTTACTTCAGTGCAAAATTAAGTCTATACAAGTAATATTATCGGTACCGAATATTTACCATCGTCGGATAATTTCTATGGCTTAAACAAGAACTTTGCTAGATGGTTTTTGAACTAATGTGTATAGAAAAGTGATCATTCTTGTCATTAAGTAAGATAACTCTGATGTGCTTCCGTTTATGTTTTGGTTTGAGTAATTTAGGCGAAAGCTTTCGGCCACTGAAAAACTCCCATTCCTATTCTGGCAAATCTCAAAAACAAAAAAGACATGAAGTACAAAAGTGTGATTTAACTTCTGAATGAACCGTGTCTTAGAAAGAATTTTCACCCTCTCTCTCAGTTGGAATCCGGGAAATTGGTGTATCAACGAGGTTCTGTAAGCAGATACGTGGATTAGAATAAGAGCGCTATTTGGATTGGGTGGGGCAGTAGAATGTAGATAGGCTGATATTGAAAGAGATACCAAACAGATATCAACATATATTTTTTAGATTGTTGTTCGGTAGATTGGAGTCTTATTTTGAAATTGTGAAGCGTTCAGTGGTCTCGACGGGATTTGAATCCACGCATGGACGCCGCCTACGCTTTTGTGCGGTGCGCGCTCTATCAACTGAGCTGCGAGGCCACACCGATAACACTGATCTTTTCACATTCAAATCGCCCATTCAACTTACATATGTATGTGGAATCCACTACGTAACATGTGAGCAAACTTCTATGACACGTCTTCCTTAGAAGCCACCTGAGTCCATCAAAAGAACTTCGTCAGCTCCCAGGAAAGTATGATAACCATAGGATGACGATAAAGTAGCATAAGGAGGACACGGGAAAAACAAATACAAATTAGTGCGAACTCCTTATTTGGAAGAAAGCTTTCTTCAGCTTATCACCGACAGCCTCGGTAAGTACATATAAACGAGTGAAAATTAGTGTCAACAATGATACCCGAGTACTTCAAACAACTGAGTCTGCTGAAAGACTACTTAATCTGTATATTTTCACACAGAGACTGGAAACAATTTGAGGCGTTTATCAAGCGTATTATCAAGGCTGGATGAGGTGGAGTACTTCGCACGATGACACAACTTAGATGTATCAGTTTAAAATTAGGATAGATGGGAAATATGAATAAGATTGACAAAATTATCCGCATCTCGGACAAGTTAGTAAAACACGCATCTAAACGTATCGTGAATGAACTGTTTGTTTAACTGATTGAATTGAGTTCGTCCTCCCCACGCGCGAAAAAGGACGATTGCTTAAACCTTAGGGGAATTCCTTTCTCTTTTATTCACCTGGAAACCAATCCCATTTAATGGGGATCAAATTTCATCTTTTGTTTTCCTGCTGCCTAATTTAAAACCAGACTAAAAATGATGTATGGAATAGGCCAGTACACGAAATAAAACAAAAAATACATAATATGGAATAAAAACCACTTCAAAATCAAATGCAGAAAGTGATGCAAGGATCATGCTTGAGAGTTGGGGAACTTTTGAATTATTCGCTAGCAAAGTAAACGATGAATAGGGTTTGGGCCTAATTGAAGGGACATAAACACGTGAAACTGTATGGTCAACATACAGAGTGCACAATCTAACTGTGCACATATAAAGTTTTAAGCGTTCTGGCCTGATAAGTAATGATTACAAGAATGCCACTGCTGTCGACTGGCAGTCAAATCCTCTAGTATCTTCAAAAAACAGTTACAAAGTCTTGCAGACCCCAAAACGGAAGACGTAAGACACTGTGGTGATGCAGGACTACACGATGGCGCCTACCCTGGAGCGGCACGTTACAGTTTCAGGACATTGGCGATCAATCAAGTTTGAATATTGACGTCAATAGCACGTGCGTAGCTTTTGAATACACGTCATTGGCGGATGGTCCCAGCCAATCTTAGACAATGCAGACAGAATCAAGATTATGCAGGCCGTGCTGCAATCCAATTGGTGGATGCCCAGGTAGCCAATAATCTCCCTTTGTACATATTATTTAATCACCTTCATTTCTTCCAATAAAGGAACTACTTACTGCCTGTTCTCTGGCCTTTTCCTCACGTCTCGTTCTCGTGGGACATTGCTTCTGTGATCCAGTCCGTGATAGCTGATTATCGATTCGGGTCCTGTGATTCATATTGCGTGGTTGGTGTTTTGGATTCCGTGCGTATTACTACTACTACTACTACTACTACTACTACTACTACTACTACAATCATTACAGACACCTATCTATCTATCTAATCGCTCTGTGCATTTCTTCAGGCCTCGTCTTCACGTGGTTTCCTTTCAATAGTTCTAGTACGAACGGATTACGAAATATTAAAAATCATGTGTCGGAAATCACAGACGCCACGTAAGCATTGGATCACACTGGTACTAGAGCAACAGCATCTCACTTAACCGAGACACGATGGAAAGACCATAGGAATTGCAGTTTGGTTATTGAGAGGAATCATGAGGTTTGAGTAATATGCATAAAACAAGTTCATTGGTCATCCAACCGCTAACAATCGCGTGCCAGTATTCCTGGCGTTGTACACTTTCTGTCCGGGTGGCACGGCTTCTCATTAGTTCGTACAATCGGAGTGTGATTCGTTGCCCGGAAGCTGTAAGGCGAAAGTGGTTTGCTAACGTCAACTGGGAGCCTTGATTCATCACAGTTGTCAGAAACTTGTAACGCGTCTCCTCGCAGTTTGTATCGTCTCGTGACTTAGGATCACCACAGTCGAATTACCACAACTATGCATAATTACAACGAATACATGTTTATTGAATAAAAAGGGAAGAATAGTTCTAGAATAAACAAATAATATATAATTACATCAGTACAAATATCTAAATTCGAATGACATTTTGTTCCGTACTATAAAGTAGACTCAATTAAATTCAGTAGTCGTACACAAAAACAAAATGTATATCGTAATCCAGGCCTACGAGATGACGCCAACCCTGGAGCGGCGCATTACAGTTTTTGGACACCTGCGATAAATCAAATTTCAAAGGTGACGTCAATGACGCGCGCCCGTATCACTACTTTTTACTACACACCATAGGAAGATCGCACCAGCCAATCCGAGACAGTGCAGACAGAAGCAGAATTATGTAAGTAATACTGCAATGCGGTTGGTAGAAGCCTAGATAACCAATGATCTTTTGTAAATATTATTTAATCCCTATTATTTCTTCCAACAAACGAACTACGAAATACGAATTACCATTCTTGTGGCCTTTTCCTCTCTTCTCAGTCACGTGGGATATTGCGTGCTAGTGCAACTGCGGTCCAGTGCTTCCGTGATCCAGTCCATGATAGCTGATCCTTGATTCGTATTCCGTGATTCGTATTAGGTGGTCCGTATTCCGATTTCTGTGCTTATTACCACAACTACTATTATCACTACAGTATAGTTTGCTGATTGGCTTTTTGTGCCACACAAGTACTACACCACATTTCGAACCGCTATATTCATTCCTCGACCTTTAGATGCTCATGAATTGGTCAGACGACGTGTGTGAGAATTACTTAGTCTTTCATTGTCCAAAACCATTTCGGTACATCGTCTGAGGTGGTTGGGGGACGTGCTTCAAATATCTGAACAACGTCTGGCCTACCGTGCGCTATTTGCAGACAGTGGGTGGGACCGAAAGAAACAGCGTGGTTAGCAGGCTATGACGTTATGTGGAGGGTTAAAGAAAATCTGTTCGAATCTGGCTTCAATCATCCCGGATGATGCTAGCCACGGAGCGACGTGTTTCAGTTTATGGACAACGAACCACAGGCCAATCGTACTGACCAAACAGAAGTCATGCGGTTCAGATAGAATCTGAATGACTCCAGGAATGCAGGCAGGTGATTGGTGGATTCCTGTTTATCCAATAAATTTCCTTTGTACATGTTATTTTGATCCCCTTGATATCCTTTATTAAAGGAACTGCTATTTCTGTGGCCTTTTTCCTGCTTTTCAGTGACGGGAGATTCCAGCATACAGGTGGGGGTTCGATTTGGTATCTCAGTTGCCCCTGTGATTCGTGATTCGTAATCTGTATCTACTTCAAATACTACATGAAGGCCGAATATTACATCTCTGTCGCGGCTTCCCGGCTTCCACACCGAGGCCCGGAAGATTCAGATTATCGTTGGATGGAGATTAGGAAATATGGCATCCAATCCCAAATTAGTGGCACGAATGTCCCGTTTCTTCTCTGCCATCCCAAACGCTAAAGGCCACAAAATTTCAAAATCGCGCGCAAATGTTTTTATCCCTACTCAAAGCTGATTGTTTGGTCGTTGTTGTTGTTGTTTATGTTGTGTGTTCTACTTCTCTTTTCAACATACATGTCTATGTATCACGACAGTACAGGTGAAAATATCGAGACATTAGTGAGGTCAAATAATCATG